TCCAGTGCAACTTTAGATAAATCCTTAGACTAGAGATCCATGCATGTGCCCTGTCGTTCTTATCACATAAGATCTCAAACATTCGGTTTTGTCTTTGGAACTGCAAAGTGCTAGGGCTCAAATAACGTAGTTTTTTTTTTTTCCCTCATGGGTGCTTAATCTTCCTTAATTTATTTTATTGCCTCCAAAATTCCAAATATTTCTGAGTCATGAGACTGATATTTATCCTTTAATTCTATTTGATAGTGTAATAAAAATAAAACTGCTAATGAAATGGACAGTTTCAAGAAAGAGAGAGGGGTTTGCAAGGCACAGAGGACATGAAGGATGAAAAATGGGAAGAAGTTTAATTGGGTCATTGGGAGTTTCCAGAAGGATTTTCCAATAGAAGTTTTAGGAGAGTGATGGGAGAAATGCTTCACTGCCAGAGATGGAGAGAAAGTAGAGGAAGCAGTTTTATATAACTCTTCAACAAGCTTTTAAATATTTTTATTGAAGAGAATAATTTGATTTTTTATTAAAGAAAAAGATCATTTCAATAATTCATATTAACTAACAATTTCCTCTGACCTGTTTGATAATTATAAATTTTAAAAAATTATTGATATATTTAAAAAGTCACATTTTTCTTAAAACAATAGCCACTTACCTTTAGAAACCTTAGAATGCAATTTTATGATAGAAATAAGGCACATTGTAAATTGAAATCTCTCTGTAGCATATCAATTTTTCATGTGCATTCATTCATTCTGTAATTATGTAAAATATTTAATGGAGTTTTTGTCATTAGAAAGTTCATTAACTCACATGCATTATGATTACCATGTGTATGTTTTTGAATGTCATATTCATATGTGAATATGAAAAAGTGTTCTATTAAAGCTCAAATATTTTATAAATGCATTGCCAAAAGTATTAGTTTGTAGGGTTCTTTTCCCAAACCATATTAATTTTTTTTGAGATCATAAATCTTCTGAGAGACTAAATAAAGCTGTGGACATTCTCCCTACAATAATATACACACATGCATATCTACCAAAATGTTCATAGATATTTTAGCATATAGGAACATTTCATTTATCAAAAACAGATACAGGTGGGGGCATTTTTTCAGATAGAAAAAGCTTTAACATTTTCATTTAAACTATTTTTTGAAGATAATCTTTCTAAGATGCATTACTCATTTCCCTGCCATCTAAAGCAGATTATAGAAACTTTTATCTTGATGAATGAAAGCCATGATTCTACACATACATTATTGTCTTAATTCTTAACACTAGTGTTTTCAATTCTGAGGCGTAAGGAGTCCTGTATTCCCACAATAAGGACTCTATACTCTGTTGCTACTTTTAATACTTCTTTCTCCAGCATTTCATCTATTCTATCTTCTCTCTCTCTCTCTCTCTCTCTCTCTCTCTCTCT